TTTCTATACGCATTTTAAAAGGTTTGCACCCCCCCTGTATAAAGGGAAAAGGTCCTATTTAAAAAAAAAGTACGTCGAATGAAAGAGGTATATAAATAGTATTTATCATTAAAGAATAAAGTTGATTCATGCATTTTTTAAAAAGTTATAGCATCATAATGTTAAAAAATGTAAAATATAATATCAAGATTTTTTTCAAAAAAATAGCATATTTTTGCATACGGTAGTCATTTTCACCATGAAGACAAGTCCAGAGGTCAAATTTTTTTTTTTCAAATTAAAGTATATTACATTAGCTTTAATTTAAGGTATATATAAAATTGTCAGTCTTTCCGGAACATTTTCAAAAGTTAAGTTGAAAAAGTTATACTTTCTATACGCATTTTAAAAGGTTTGCACCCCCCCTGTATAAAGGGAAATGGTCCGATTTTAAAAAAAAGTATGTCGAATGAAAGAAGTATATATAAAGTATTTATCATTAAAGAATAAAGTTGATTCATGCATTTTTTAAAAAGTTATAGCAACATAATGTTAAAAAATGTAAAATATAATATCAAGAATTTTTTCACAAAAATAGCATATTTTTGCATACGGTAGTCATTTTCACCATGAAGACAAGTCCAGAGGTCAAATTTTTTTTTTTCAAATTAAAGTATATTACATTAGCTTTAATTTAAGGTATATATAAAATTGTCAGTCTTTCCGGAACATTTTCAAAAGTTAAGTTGAAAAAGTTAATTTTTTGTAAAAAAGTTACCATTTTGAAACCCCATCCTTTGGGCTGTTAAAGGGTCAAATGTTCACAAAAATATATAAAATGATAGGTAATTATCTAAGGTATCTATAAAAAAAAAAATTATATTGATTCGGTCATTTTTAAAAAAGTTATGGCAATTTTAAGTAAAAAAAATTGAAAAAATATCGAAAATTAGCGATTTTTAAATTTGTAATTTTTTGGGGGATTTCCCCCGTTTACGGGGAACGAGGGAATTTTTTTCAATTTTTGAGGGTAATGTCTTCGACTAGATACGATTTGTGATCTTTTGACATATTGTTCATCAAAATCGGTCCAGCGAAAGCGTTCACAGACACAAAAAAAATAAAAAATTTAAAAAAAAAACACATCATAGTAAAATTAATACCTTCTCAGCTTCGCATCGAAGCTAAAAAGGTTAAATGTTGTTATATGTACAAGTTTTCCTTCAAAAAACTGAAGTTATAGAACCAGATTATGTTTATTTAATCAATGGCATTACGTTTTAACTATAAGTAAAGCGTGTTGAATAACTATGGTTAACTAACAATTAAAAATTAATACAGTCTGGATAAATATAGATTGATACCAGTAATTTATATCATTATTATAAAACACTTCGATGCAAGTAGATTAATTTAAATGATGTTACGAATTCTAATTTTCGCAGTTAAACCGAATCCGAGCATTAATTTTAATAATTTTTAAGCAAAACATTTTTTATATCATTTCAATTCGAAAATCGAATGGTATGAACATTATAAGTTAATTTCTTTTTGGGAGTATTAATTTATTTAAAAAAACAAGCAATAAGAAATAATTTTAAAAAATTGTGTATTTTTTCCTAGAACATTATTAATAAATCGTTTCTTTATTTTAATCACTAACTACATTTAAAATTCTTTAATTTAAAAGTTTTAAGTCAGACGTTTTTAAATATTGAATTGAAAAAAAGTTTGATATGCGTGATTATACTTTCAGTATCTAGGTTCTCTATTAAATTTAAAAAGGCATATCAAAAGAAAAATCATTGTCTTTAGTATAACCATATAAAATTTTTCTAAAAAATATATACCGCAATTTTAAATTACAAAACAAGTATCAGGGTAATTATTCAATTGTCAAGGACAATGTCATAAACTAAATAAAATTCGGGTTCTTTAGACATAGTGATCATCAATATCGGTCTAATGAGAACTGAGAATTTTTATGAACAGACACAAAAAAAACAAGGAATTCAATTCATATAAATAATCGGTAACAATTTTTTTTTTCTAATTTTAATTAGATTCGTAATTAGCTAATGTTTTTAAAATATATTCTCGGTATCCTAGTGGGTCTTTTGTGTTACTTTCTATTAGGATTCTACTTTGTGACCGGTTGGTATATAAGTACAATTCTTAAACATGCGATATGATAGCACAGTTATAGCAATGACTTCTTAAATAATAATTTCTTAGTAGTTATAAAACAATTAATCGAGAAAACCCGAATTGAAAAAAAAAATTCTAACACTAAACATTAAATATTTCTTTAACGAATGGATGCAACAAATAAATTAAGCCATAATTTTTGAAAACATGGACATAACCTTTTTAAAAGGGTAGACATAAACACTAGATTTATTGGGAAAAAAAATTACATAGTGAAGACAAAAAATGTTCATTTAAAAAGAGTAGAAATACAATTTTTTAAATGTAAATCTGTCCTAATAGTAAGGTTATATTCTGTGATTCTTAAAAAATAACAACGCTACTAGGTAATACAATTATTCTTTACTCTTTGGTGTAAGCGTTTTTGATAAGGTAAAGTAGTTAATATAAAAAGCAAAAATTGATTAAATAAAACAAGAAACAAAATATTTAAAACGTACTAGATCATTTTTTTTTAATGGAAAATAACTTATAAAGGGCTCAATTTTATACTACATAAAAACTAAGTAGAAAGTACGTGTTCAATTCTATATATTTAGTATTAGGTAATCTAGTACTAATACAGTCAAATTAAAATTCTAACAGAATCGCAAAAAATTATTTAAATTATTATTATTTAAAATATTTATTTTGAATTAAAATCTATAACTTGTAAGGAATGGATTCTGAAATTTGTCCAAAGGGTCAAAAAAAAAGTTTAGAAGTTAAAATCAATTTTTTTTAGTAATTTTATCATTCACAACACCTTTTTAGTAAGTAGCGATAGTTCAAGAAAGAGGCGCGAGCAACTATGAGCCTATTCTGTAGACCCACTACTCTGAGTGCCTTTATCTAAACAAACGCCATGGAGTATATTCAGAAAAAGACCGAAATATATTATAGACAAAATAGTTTTATCATGAAAGATTTTTATTTACGAAAAAAATTAAATACCTTTATATTAATATTCTTAACTTTAATAATATCGCCTATTGTTACACAAATGAAATTAATAATTTGGTGTACATTTCCTTTCATACAACACTATATTATTTAAAAAATATTAAAATATAAAAACATACCTGCCAATAAAAATTATTTACAACTTCAAATATAAGAATATACTAGATTGCATTTGGTAAACACATTAACTTACGCTCTTGAAATCTGGATAATAAGTAGCTATACGTAATGTACTAGCATGTAATGAAATACTAAACCTGCTGTATTCATGTTTGCCTTGTAAATTATGCACTTACAGTACTAATGTAGTCTTTCTTTTTTTTTAATTTCAAGGACTATGTTATTATACTGATTCATAGCATAATAAAAATACAGTATTGAAGTAAATTTAAACCTACGTAATAGTAAATTTAAATATATGTAACCTATTTGGCAAATAATGTTTTAATATCATTAATAATAATAATAATAATAAGCATAAAACTCATATAATACTACATATTTGCTCACCATGCATGGAGTTAAGGGTCTTGGAGAAAGCGTTAAGCTCCACTAATAATAAAATTAATCACCAATAATTTAGGAAATTTACATATAATAATACAAAGTGATAAGTTTATGATGAACACATTTACTACTCTCAAAATAAATACAATAATGGAAAAAAAATTTTTTTTTTTTAGTTACGTATATATTTTAATTTATTTGCTAATAATTACTTTTTAGAATCATTGCTTAAAACTTAAAAGGATGTCAACTTTGTTTTTTAATAAGCAAACATACATTATTTAGTAGCTTATTTTATAGATAATGAAGTAATTACAGAAAATACTAGTCGATAACAACTTTTAGACCCGTACTTCAGAAGTTATTCGCATTTTTATATCTAAGGTGAGAAGAAGAGTACGAGCGAGAAATGTCTGTGGTAAAAATAGCTGAATCCTCTCCTCACTTTCAGACGCAATTTTAAATTGTTCATAACTTCTAAAATACTAGTCTAAAAGTTGTTATCGACCATTTATTTTTTTAATTACTTCATTATTTATTAAATAAGCTAGTAAATTATGTATCGGATTTTAAAAGATAAAGTTAACACCCTTATAAGTTATATGGGACGATATTAAAAAGTAATTATTAGCAGATAAATCAAGAAATATACGTAACTAAAAAATACCAAAAAAATTTTCCTCATTATTATATTTATTTTAGAGGGCTTCATGATAAACCGATCACCTTGTATAATAGAAATTAAATTAGGGAGGATGCAAAACTTTTTTCCAGCACTACCTACGACACTAACAATATCAGTAACATAAATTAAAGAAGATGTTAAAATCCGGAATATTATTACAATGGTACATTTTGATAAGGCTAAGAAAGTTAATGATGTTTTTTGAAATGGTTAAATGTATTCCTCCCAGCTTTAAAAATATTTTAAATAACAATAAATACAATTTTTAAACTTTTAGTGAGTGGAGTAAAGTTGCTCCCCATTTTAGTTCCTTAGACGTGACTTTCAAAAAAATTGTTGGATTACATATGACTAGTAATGTATGGTAGTTAGACAAAAGATAAATTAAGTTAAGATATTGCTAACGTCTCTCTTAAGTTAAAAGTTACACTTATTATCTCGCTTATGCCCAGCCTTGCCTTTAAGGGAAAAATTATTTACTATGACTCTGAATCCAAAGAATAAATATCAACGCTATAATCTAACACAGGTATGACAAAAATTAAAAACTTATTTGTTATTCGTATCTTACATTCAATAATGGCGTTATTAAAATTTGTTTATATCTAATGACGTTAAGGATTTTATAAGAACATCCTAGACTTTATGTGTAAGCGAATTCTTTAATAATAACACTCACTATCAATCGCATGTTCTAGAACTCTATCTGTCACAGTCTCGATCAACTCCTTGCTATCTTCGACGGCATCAATTGTCACTATGTGCGACTCTCGTTGAAGCTGATTTTTTGAATTTTGGAGCAATAAATTATCAGTTGTTTCGCTGAACATGACGTTAGTTAAGACATTTTTCTATAAACTAAAAGTAAATGAGAAAACTGAACATATTTTTAAATCTTTAAATCTACTTCGATAACTAAACCGGTTTTACGAAAGTAATCTCGTCTAAATAAAATGAGAGATCGAAACTTGCAAATCAATTTATTCATCTATTGTAGAACTACAATCTCGTTCAAGACATATTAAAAACAAATGAGCGAGTGCACCGGTGTTTTGATTTTAATTGTTAATCTTTGCTAACCTGCAATTTAGGGCATGGGCATGGGGTATGGATTTAGCAAGGACATTGATTTACGACGGCGCAGTAAGTGTTACTATCATACTAGTTATCAATTCTGACTTATTAATTAAACAAGTAGCTGTCAATTCATGGTTTATGTTACATAAATGCATAATAATAAACTATCCAAAGATTTGAACAAATCGATCATATAAAATATATATTGGGCTCATTTTAAAATAAACAATTTTTTTAATTGTGGCCCATTCATTTTTAAGAATATTGAAGTTTAATATTTTGAATATACAGTTCAAAAATATTAAGGCTTGTATGAAAACAATTGTAAAATTATATTATGTTGTACAATAAACGTGTTGAGGTGTCAAACATTCTTTGATGTCTAGTACAAACAACATAGGCTCAAAATGGATTTCAATAAAATCATTTTATCTTAAAATTTTGGAATTATTTAAATCGTATTTTCATTTGTAAATTACTTTTGCGCTATTAAATAGTTTTTCAATTAAAAAACTGCCTTAAAAAAATAATAATACTTAGAAATTTGGATTGAATTCAACATCATAATATAAATTTAAAATGGTTGCTTTACAAAATTGCTAAGTTTTTAAACTTTTAAAAAAGTAAACGAAAAAATAGTATCTTTGCTATATAAATATGCAATTCTCATGACAATGATAATGTCATGGTAAGGATAATACGCCCATATTACCCCTATGGTTATGCCAATGAAATTTTCGTTATATATACATTATAACATGATCATTACTTTAAAACAATTTGCGGAAAAGAGTCTATCCTTCGATAAAGTCATTTTTAGACCTGAAATTTTGTTGATTTAACTAAATTAAATAATTAAGAGTAGTAAATAATGAAGTCCTCTTAATTTTTATTGAAAATGCAATCATACTTAATTAAAAGTAAGGAAGACCGAGACAGAAGGTTTTACGAATCTTTATTATTTTATTATTATTCCATAAAATTGAATATAATCAAAAGGGTAGGGACGAGTTTAATTCCCCTTTGTGGAATAGATGGTATGAACCGGATTTAAAACTACCGTTCAGCATTACCTCAAAACAGCAGGTTAAGAGATTTAAGGAATTCAAACTTTATAACACAAAATGTTTTCTTGTAATCAAATTACGTTTAAAATAATAAAG